GGGTTAAGGGGGGCCGGGGGCGAAGCCCCCGAAGCCAGAGCATTTATACGATTTTAAAAGCATGTACATGTCATTTAAATGCATGTTCATGTATATTTAAATACTTCTTACACAATTTTAAAAATAAGATAAGAAGACTACTTTTTCCAATATAGGATTTAGAACGTAAATATTTATTGTGAAACAAACTTTTTTTTTTATTAAAAAAATGTCGAGTGCCCAAACTTTTTGTGATGACGTCGTACCAAAGTAAATAAACTCCGGAGCACGCAATTGGTCAAATAGCCTAGGCAACAAACCTCTCATTAATATTCATTTTGAAGTCTTGCTGGTTACGTCATTCAGCTGGCTCCAGCTTTGTTTTGATTTCTACGATCGGACTACGATCGATAGCGACAAATAAACAGTGCCAAGAATGCTCCCATTTTGTAATAAATTGCACTGTTTTGGAAACGGGGGTCGTTTTCTGGCTAAGGGGGTTCGCTGGCAAAAGGGGTGTTCGCTGAAAAAGGGGGTTCGCCCGAACCCCTAAAAACCCCCTGGCTACGGGCCTGTGTAGGATATACCATACATTGTAAGCACTGCAACATGTTTTGATTGGATTTGACGAACGCTCTGGAATCGTCCATTGCAATACTTCAGATGGTTATATTTTGCAAAATTTCAGTATTATACAAAATGTTTTGAATATTCATAAACGTACTAGTCAGATTACAGTACTGTTCAGTATTTTTCATATACACTAGGCCTATCATTATTAATCATCATTATTGCGATTTCACTGTATTTACAGATACAGTATCAACATCAACACTTCCAAAAGTTGATGGCGGTGAAAAGCCAGACTTCCCAGAAGGCGAACCAGATGATGAAATCTAGATGAAGCGAGAGACCTAAACAATTAGGATTCTGTAGTGCCTGCCTGTGGATAATCACCTCACTCATTCAAATTGGCTGTAAAGTTATTCCTTTGAATCATTTATATGTATTGTTTTTCAAACAAAATTTAGACGGTCTTAACTACCATTACCATTTATCAGACGAACTGTCACAACCAATACACATCTTCATTGCCTATAGAATTGTTTTATACTGTTTTCATTTCTACAACTTCCGAATCAAATAACAATCACTATATCTATACAGTTCTCCTGAATTATCATTTTTATATGATTTATCAATAGAATACAAAAGTAAATTAGTAACTTAGGTGGTACAGTACTTTCCAGCTGGATTTGGATTTTATTTTGAATTATTTCCAAACATATTGGTGCTATTTTATTTTTTGTATCAGATTTTTAATTTTTTAGGACCTGTATAATGCTAGTATAGATCTATTTTGTTTATCCACCATTTTCTTATGTCATATAATAGGTATGACTGTCACATTCAAACATTTTAATAAACTGCCACATTTAGACATCATTTTAATAAACACACCAATCCCCACCCCACCGTTATTATATTTTATGTAGAGTAATTAATCATCATAAGATTAGCGTAGTAATAAATGTGTTACATAGAGTATACTTGTGGAAGTGTTTTGTTTGTATTTAAAATCTCAATGTCTCAACAGCAGTGACGCAGAACATGGAGACTAATTTGTTAGTCAGGAGTCAGAAAATTATACCTTCCAAAAGAGACCAGCGGGGTAACATCTATAGCTCATCCACATGCTGAACAGGCGTTGATGAGTACTGTATCTACATAGATTTAGATAGATGGATTCAAATAGAACTTTTGTCCAGTTACCTAGATTAATATTGCATGAAAATATATAAAGTAATCAATGTGAATTATGGTGAAAGCCCAAAGACTTGTTTCCAGTGGGGTCCTTCTGGCGGTGATTTGGCAGTACACAGGGAGATGACACCCCCCCCCCCCCCAGTACAGTACTCTTTTCTGAAGAGTACTGCAATCTTTAACATGCACATGGGCCATATTGCACATGCGAGACCAGTGGCTTTAACGACAGTGCACTTTTTCATACTTGTGTTTCTGCCCTCTTGCTGGGCAGCAGATGGAATTGAACTGGACTCTGAAGGTTAACAATGGATCTTCGCGCTTCACAGCTCACATAATGGCTACCACCAGTTTAGCCGACTGATCTATGCGTCACATCAAGCCAATGTAAACATTAGTTCCTGTTAGCGAGCTACTTGATTTATCCAAATATAGTTCAAAGGGTATCAGGCTTACATTTGAAGCCCTGTTGGTGGCCCTTAATCCCCTGGCACCCTCTAAAAAAGGGGAAAATTGTAGGCTACTTTAAGCGGTTTAAACACATTATTAGGACCCACAAACACAATAAAAGAGTCATGGCCCAGAAGATCAATCCCCATGTTTCTTTTGCTGGTACAACCACTGTCTTCATATACTTACAGATATGGATTTGATATAAAACACCAACAGATGGAAACAACTGCCAATTCTACATTTTTTTATTTCCAAAAACCAATATGTATTTACGTCACAAATTCTGGGTAAATCATTAAATGGCGCAGAAATGCTGTTTTTCATTGATCAAGAATAAAAATGTTTGTGAAAAGCTAATGACATTTTACATTAATGTACGCAACTACAACAACAAAAAACACACAAATTTCAAGTCATATGAAAATATCAGGATATAAAAATGCTTGAAACATGATGGGACTTTTATAAAAAGAAGAAATGCAATTCATTTTAGACAACTTTGGTGACTAATCGAAAGAGTAGTTTAAATGTGTATACTAAAGCTAATTAAACAGCTACAGACAAGGGATCAAATAACAATAGAGTTCCAAGTGTGGCAAATATATCTATGTGCCATCTAGTAGTTTCATGTATGCATAGCAAATGTCAAGACATATTACATGTATAAAACAATACAGAAATGCTGTAGAGTATAAGCCATGGGGATAAGGCATGGGAGGTAACAGCCTGAGGGGGTGTAAGCAATGGGGTATAAGACATAGGCGATGGAGTATGAGCCATGGTGGTATAAGTAATGGCGGTATAAGTTGTATGACTGATTTCTAACACTTGACTTTTTACATATGCACACCTGAAACTAAGAGACAGCTTACTGGGACTAGTTTTTTGTCAAATTATGAAATTTATATATCACTTACAAAACATTGTTTGGTGTCGTATAACATCTAAGAAAAAATATTTACATTGTCAAACTACCAACCAACACTGTTACATTCTTGTCCTCCTTTTTATATCATCACTTCTTTTTCAAAATACAATAGCAAAAAATTATACATTTTGAATAAAATATTAAAAAGAGAAAGTTCATTAAAAAACGAACAGCTGTTGTACAGTGTTGTACAGAATAAACATTTGCTGGTAGAGAAATTGCCGAAAAAAAAAATTGATCACCATTAATCATCCCCAACGGGTGATCCGGATCGTGATCGGCTTCTTCGGTCGCTTCCATTCTCAATTCTGAAAAGCAAGCAAACATGTTCACATTCAGTATAATCAATTAAATTGTAGCACAGATTGATGTCGTGATTAATTTTGAGCCTGTATTCAAAATGTCAAATTAGCATCCCAAAATTATTCATTGAATACAATTTGTTTGGATGTTCTGATGGCATTTTTTTTTTGTCAGGAGGAAATAACACAAATCGATGCTTGCCCTACAGACATGTTATAATACTGAATGCTTGCAAGTTCCCAAATGTTTGCGAAAATTTTTGAAAGTGATTCAGGTGGAAATAGTACTACAACACATTAGGTAGGGCAAACATGGATTCGTATTATTTCTCCTGACGCAAAAAAAAAGCCAACGGAATATCACGGCAGTACCCGCTGCTACTTGGGGATCGATTTATCACTAGCTACTGAGCGGTGTCGAGTGGCAAGACACAAGGTTAGTTATCTGGAGGTTTTGGGTTTGATTCTCACTCGAATTTATCTCGCAAGCATTTGCGAATGTACTGAGCATTCAGTATTCGTATTGTTTGGATGTGCTTTGCACTTCACGTAGTGAGATACTGAGAGAAACTTTGTAGAAGGTGATTTTGTGACATTAACATAGAACATACGATTAAAATGACAAAAGACATTTTAAAAAGTTGGAATAAAGTGAACAAGTAGGCTTATTGAATAACAATTAAATCGATATTATGAAACTCAACGAGGAGTATCAAAATTACCTATCGCTCTTGGTTGATCCTACAGAGTCACGACTTTGGCTGCGGCTTCTGTCCCTGCTTTGTTCAACCCCACGGCTGCCACTTCGGCTTTTTCTCTCACGACTCCTACTCTTATGACTTCTGCTTCTGCTTTTACGACTTCTGCTTCTGCTATTGCGTTCACGACTTCTACTATTACGCTCACGGCTTCCACTTTTTTGCTCGCGTCCACGGCTTGTACGTTCTTTGCTACCACTACGATCACGGCTTTTCCTTTTATCACCAGATCTATGAACGAAACAGATGGTTAAGTAATGGTTCTAAGCACTAACATCACTTATAAAAAAAAAATACAATATTAAAATTCTGATGCAAGTAAAGAAAATGATAACTACCTTGAACGTCTTCTTTCACGAGACCTGTCTCTTGAACGAGAGCGACGTCTGTGACGTGACCTGTAACAGAAAAATTTACAATCAAATTTAGGCATCAACTGGACCCTCCTCTACTCAACTATAATTTAGCATTTCTGTGATGAGTTTTCAAAAGTTGCATTATTATTATTTGCTTATAAACAAATTTAAAGGTATAAGCAATCACTATTGTATTATTTAAATGTCCATTATTTGACAAGGAATTTATTTTAAATTCAAAATTTTTTTGCTTCACATCTAACAGTTTTTACACTCGCCAGGATGGAATAATGCTTTATAAGCCAAGTCTCTTTACAAGGCTTAGTGAGTGGAGTTGTTTTAAGCCGTGAGAAAAAGTCCTGCTGTCACAAGATTTGAACCCAGGACCATGGAATTAGAAGGCAAGCATCTTAACCACTAAACTATTAAACTCCACTCCAGTTGACTTAAAAATACTAAAGCATTTACGGATTCAAGGGGGGACAGACACCTTCCCCCACCACCACTAAAATTTTCCAAATTTTATAAAAATGGAGATAAAAAGAAAACTTATATTTAAATTTTTACCTGAGACTTCCATCTGGAGGTGCCATAATCAATGTTCTTACCTCAGCCCCATCCATGGACCCTCCATTGTAATATATTTAAACAACAAGTAAAAATTTAGGCTTCTTGGTTGGTCATTATTGAGGGATGGGTGGTAATTATAATTGCACTGTATGTGAACGTTTAATCAAAACTATTACAAGCTTACCTGGATCTAGAGCGACGAGGTCTTTCTCTGGATCGCGATCTTGATCTAAGGGAAACAGTAAAGTCAAAGGTCAACCAAATCCAATACTATTGTACAGTAGCATAGAATAAAAAAAAAAATAGATATAACATGCACGCATGCACATTAACGTCCGTACCTTTCCCCTTGATTCTATATTAAAGAAAAACAATAAACAATTGCAATTAATTTTGTTTATGTTGATTTTTATTTACTGATAATAGGTATTATAAATAAACTGCAAATAAAAAGTACTTGTAGTAAACAGGTAATATTCAAAAACTATTTGCTTCAATTATGTATTTTTAAAACATTGTGTTTATTAAATTATTGAATTAGGAAGTTTGAGAGATGTAATCTTGTGTTCCTCAAGAGAATAAAACACACAATTTAACCGGGGATAAATTCCAGTAAATAGGACCAACACTCATTCTCCAAACACGAGCAACATAAGCCAAATATTAATTTTAATTTAGAACTATTTTTAGAAACTAAGCTCTAGAGCAATATCCCCGGTACTTACAATAGTACAACTGGCGCGTAGAGAGGGCGCCCTAAAACGAGTAGCTGCAAATTTTGGTTAGTGTGAGGAGCCTGAGGGAGTGTGGCTAGATCGAAAATTGGCCGACATGACCGGTGTGCAGCAGGCTTGGTTTATAAATGTGTATTATTTGGTAGTGAAGTATCAGGTTGGTAGCAAGTGGATCAGTGTCGCGTAACAACGACGAGAAGCCATTAAGAAGACCGAATAGTAGGGCCTAGCAAAAGCAGTTGAATGTCGTATTGGTCTGGTGGTGGTTGTGCTAGTACATGGTTTGGTTTAAGCTTTTACAAGTACTGGTCCATGAATGCTTGCTTGGTCTGAGTTTAAATGGGAACCGATTGGTAAGATGCTGATGTAGTTATCAAAACACCTAAAATAAGAACTTTTTCGTGAACAACAAATGTGTAGTTTTTGTCTGAATCTACTCTTATGCATTGGCCTACACACTGTAGACCACTTAACATAGGAGTTAAATACTATATTTAAACTAGTTTGCTTATCACAACTGCACCTATGAAGCGTATCATCATCCATCATATCCTATGAAATAAATACTGAAATAATAATAATAATAATAGTCGAAATGGCCGCCAATGAAGTGCCCATATTTTTGCAAATAATACACAATTAAACTGTATACTGTAATAATAAATAACTGTACATTATTCTAATGTTTTTAATAATTTCAACAGAAAATGTAATGATGACTAACAAGGTGATGAAGTACAGCACTACAGATGTACGGTGCAGTGTTTAGAGCACAAGTTCCTTAACCAAAATAAATGCTTCATTTACTGCAAATAAATATTTTTTTCTTTAATAGAAGAAATTGAAGTGTTAACGAATGAATCGCAGTATTGGAACTCTCTTACTTTCTGAAAACAAAATATTAAAGATGTACTGTCCCAAAATCATAAAAAATAATTTTTAAATAAATTGCTCATTTTGTATTAACATACAAATTATTAATTTGAGCATAGGAATTATTAAATTAAAAAAATGTGTTCCCTCATTTTTTAACTAGATAATTATAATAAAGATAATAAAACACTTCCAGTGAGTTTCTATCATTTTTTCGCTGTAAAATAATGGTTTTTATGGGTAAGCATTTTTTAAATACACTAATTTCTATGTTCAAGTTGATAATTTTTATGTTACTTCAAAATGGGCTAGTCAATTCAAAAATGACAGTACATCTTTAATGAAAAACCATCAAATCAAAATTTCAAAACAATATAAATTAGTAGTAATAATTGTTCCTAGTTGATGATGGTTTCTCTACAATTCAAAAGCCGAGCACCCATTGCGACGCACGCCAAATCCAACTCTGTTCCCAGTGGGCGCTAGACAGTGTGACACCGTCTGTTGATTATCGGTAGCTTTCTGCCAAAATGATTTATTACACGCGCATTGTGGCGTTGCATCCTCCATAGAAATGCGTCAGCCGACAACCGTCGATCGTAGTGAGTGCCCAGCCTTACTGCACCATGCTTTCAATTTCTTAGTCTAGCTGTGTAATCATTACAATCAATTAAATCATTTCTAGATTAATATACACCTTGAAGTGAATTCACATACTAGTATATATTCAACCTATATTTACATTATTTTATCAGACTCCTAATTTACTAGAATACTGAAGGTTCTATCAAAATTATTATGGGTTCGTGCCCAGTTGGAAAGACCCATCTTGCCAACAATTACAACAAGCGTATTGATTTAAAACATATTAATAGCTTACCTCCTTGGTCTACCTCCGTAGCGGTGAGGTGGGCCATACCTAGGTGGAGGGGGACGTCCACGGCTATGCTGGGGACGGGCATGCTCAACTCTAACCCTGCGACCACAAACAGTTCTAAAAATAAAGAGAACAAATGCAGCTTCTGTTATCAGACTTTTATAAATTTATGTTACTGTCAATTTTATTATTTAAACAGGACAACATATTTTTAAAAAATTATCATAAATGCTTGAATAAGTGCTGCAGCGCTTACTGTATTGGAGAGCGGCGCTTATAAAAAAATGTTGGCGTGGCATTTTCCATGTCTATTCCCATGTTACCTATCTCAAGTATTCCCGTAGTTCAGTAGGCCTAACATGGGTCCAACTCAAGTGTTCTCACCAGGACGAGGCTCAGGCATCATGGTACCTCACTTTTCTTCAAACTGGGATACATGGACAGCATTGCTTATTTTGAATTATTTTATTGACAATATTTTAAAGCGTCACGGAAGACACATCAAGCATCACGGCAAGCTTGGAAGCGTCACAGTGAAGTCCACGGTACCGTGATGCTTCAAAGGCCTAGGGAAAACACTGCAACTTCATCATTGTAATTAAAACCCTGTTTTTGAAAGTGTTCCATCATTACACACAGGGTAATATATACTCTTGATCAAGCGCTGGAGCGCTAATAATATTTACTAGCGGCGCTTAGTGAAAAAAATTGGCTTCGTGCGGCATTTATTTGAGAGCGGCGCTTAGGCCAAAATAAAGAAAATATACTTGTTTAGCGTCACACCCTCAGTAATTTTCAGGGGCGGGGGGGCAGATTTTTTTTTTTTAGTTTTAATTTTTTTTTGCTGGCCTAGGCCCTACTGTGTAGGCTTCTTAGGCCTAGAGATTTCAAAACTGCATTGGTGCCAAGCCAAATCTTTTACAAAGGCCATAACAGACACTAAATTTTACATAAAAGATTTGTTTGTACAATATTTATTTTAATAAGCATTGTGGTTCCGTAGGCTAACTGCTGCAGTACTATGCCATACTAGGGGTCTAGGCCTAGTTAGGTAGTACTTAGGCTAGGCCTAAAACATCTGAAAATTGAAGCATAGGTCTTAACCTATTATTTTTCTTCATAGTACTTTATTATTATAAAAAATTACATTAAAAAAAAAAGAGAGGTGGCTAGAAAATCAGGGTCAGGCGGTGACGTTAAACAAGTATATTTTTTCTTTTGACCTTATTCGAGAATTTACTGTACTTTTGTGTAATGGCATACATTAAGGTAGGCAATCGACTTGCTTGTTTTATTTTATTTTTTATTTATTTCTTCTTCACAGTGGGTGACCTGATAAGTGCAAAAGCGTTGTTATTCTACAGGGCAAAGCAACACATACAATAAAACACATCAAATGACAAAAATCAGAAAGTACATAGACAATCAATAAAAAGGCTATAGAAATTTAAAATGTAAGAAACTTGGGTTTATATTATTTTGACATGTATATTATAAACCTTTGTAAAAAGTGTAAATAATCTACCTTCCATCTAATGATCGGACAGCTCTCTCAGAATCATCTTCATACTTAAAAACGATGAATGCAAAACCAGGAGGATTTCTAAAACAGAAAGTAAAATGGTTTATAATGAATTGTACAGTGGTAGTACAAAGACTGACCATTTCTAGCAGACTAGAGTTGAGAAGGCTAAGCCTCAGGGTGCCAAGAGAAACCAGGCCAATTATTTGGGCCACTTTAAGCTGTGATTTTGTAGAACACATCGGATGCTCTATTACTTTATTTCCTTATTCATTAGAGTCATAACTCAGATTAAAAATACCTCTACCTTCTTTTTTCCTTATTCAGTAGAGTCGTAACTGAAGAAATATAATCTTGAGATACTGTGAATTCAGGTCTCTAGACTCTAAACAGTCATTAGCATTTCAACAGAAGTAACACCAACAACAATAGTCCCACTGACTGAAATCGATATAATTTCTTTAAGGTTCAATAAAGTCACTGTTATGGTGTATTCACCCATTATTACGACCTAGGCCTAGTATTATTATCATATCATTAATTTACTATGAAACTACCGAGGCCTAAACACATTAGCTATGGTGTCGCGGTTCCTCTGCGACGAGGGACGCCATCGCGCATGCGCTAGCGATCGTCGTAAGAATAGCATTGGGAGCTATCGTAATAAAAATAGCCACAGCGTAGGCTAGGCCTACAGTAGTAATTGATTTCCTCCTCCTCCTAGGCACAGCCTTCTGGTTAAATAGGTTCTAGCCAATCTACAGCAGGCTAGGCCCCAACCTCCATATTGATGAATAAGTCGCGCACATTCACTGCCTGTGACGGTTGACTAGCCTAGGCCAGTCTACACTACAGACAGGCAGATCCTTTCCTTTCTCGCTCGACTGCTCCACAGCATTGAAAACCTACCTCGCTACCCACACATCGAGCATTGCACCAAATCTTTCAAATTCTCTTTCCAAATCATATTTGCTGATTCTTGGACCAATGTCTCCGACAAAAATTCGGTAACCGCCATAAGAACGATCAATTGGCATGATTATAACACGCTATTTACACGTCCAGAGACAACGTTTTAACTGGTAATTAGGCCTAATTGATAATTTGATGAAAAGGAAAATGAACGACGCTTGGGGTGGTGGTGCAGAATATGGTGGACGTGCGCTTTTGTTGGAATGTTCTATTTATAAATGGTGAATTATTAATCGAATTTTGAACTCACTATGGTTAAACTACGGTGAAAACAATCAAATATATCTTATGTAGTTATACTACTTAAAACAAATTACAAATAGGTAAATGTTTAGTTTTGAATTTATAGATTTCTATCAAATATTGATAACTACATAACAAAACATTTACCTATTTACTCAAATGTAGAGACTAAGAAGCTAAAGGTCAATCACTAACCCTCAGTGTCGACGATACGAGCCATAAAAATGGCTTTCAAACTTCAACTGAGAGATTTACTCACCGACAGCATGGAGAAATAAAATTCCTCCATGCGTCGCGTTCACCATGGTAGTACGGTCGTATAATTAAAGTTTTTATAAATATAGTTATTTTTAGTACATAATGCATTAAAACAATTACAAATAATCAAAAAGGGAACAGGTGTTGGGGTGTGAAAGAATGACTTTATTCAGATTTTTTGGGGAGTGGATCAAAAGTCAAAAAATTAAGTTGTAAAAATGGCGTTTATTCAACCAAACTTTAAACCCCTTGCAAACTTTATGGCTGGTCTTATAGGAGAAATGATTAAATAAAAAAAAATAATATAGATATGTTTGAATATGATCCAAAGACCTATAGGCCTCCAAAATATCTCCTGGATAACCGAAGTGATAGGAATTTTTCAAACCACCAGTATAATAGAACGTGTTCTGTGGAGGCGATTTCATGGTAGTTCCCCAATGTGGGTCACAATTAACCCTGGACAGAATTGGGAAACTTTGTCCTGAAACTCGTATTTTCAACATTTTGTTACTTAGGCCTATTCTGAGTGCCAATTCGTTGTTTTTGGTAAACCTATGTTAGCCAGGTATGCAAGAAAGCAGGCCGGCAGACCACCACTTTAACGATAGGCCTATTTGTGCCCGCACTTATTGCACTTTCTGTACTAAACGTTTTCATGTTTGATGCTTAATGCGCTTTTTAAGAATGAGAGTGTTTGATTACTAAAATTTATAGGCCTATACAGAATATTTAAAAAATACCCAAAAAACTAATTTGATTTCTTTATCTAAGAATGCTAATGTACAATTTAAATCATCTAGTTTATTTATGTTTCTCTCTGAGAAAATCCTCCCGGCTGTCTCTTATACACATCTACCTGAAGATCAAGTTGATATTGAGGATGGTCAAGACAACAATCCTGATGAGGAGCATCCTATGGAGTCGGTGTCAAATGCAATGTCTGAAGAGCAATTTATACCATCTTTACTCATTATTTAAATTCTGATATTTACTTTTCTTTTGGTCTGTAATCATACATAAATATTTCAACGAGATATACCGTATCCAATCCAACTGATTTTTTTTTTTTTTTTTTGCTTATAACAGCTCAATAATTCTAGTTTTTCCTAACAGAATAAAGAGCAATGAAAATCGGTCCATGCTTTCTGAAATAAGTGTGATATTTGTAACACTGGGAGTAAACTAGCCTATGTTAATACATAGGACGATCGTCGATGTTTTAAGTTTTCGACGGCGCATCTAACATTTAAGAATTAATAGCTGAGACACGTCTTTACAAAAACAGCCAAAAATATCTCTCCATTATTAATGATTTAAAAAACTGTACAAAGAGGGCCGATTTTCAGCAATTTCGCACCGTTTGGCGAATAGTGACCAGAACTTTAGGACACAAAAAAATGTTAATGATCACCAGTGTTCATAGTAGCACTTTTGAAATTAGTTGAGGTATTTATTTGAACACAAGCTGTCATGTACGGTGTACACGTCATCAGGATACTTAACAATAATAATAAACTAATAAATTACATAAACTATGTTTTATACCAAACATTTAAAAATAATATATTTTCAAAATTTAAAATTTTGTCTTCTATAAAAGAAGATTTAAAGCTACGAAAAGAAGATTTAAAGCTACGACATAATTAAATCAAATGATAAACTGATGAAAGGTAATATCAATCTATAATTCATTTAACTATTATTTTATACTATAATCAAAGTATTAATTGATACAAATCACATACAGTGCATGTTTTTTCAGATTTATAAAATCTGTGTAAATATTTATTGCTTCACTAATAATCAAAGTAATTTATACTATACATTTACTGTTTAAAATACTTTTTAGAAAAATAGAAGTTCATTACAAAAATCTGATATCACATGAAATTTTGGTTTTATAATTTCAAATCTAATTCAATAAAAATACTTTAATTTGGTTTTCTTAATTATTAAAACATTAATCAATAAACAAATGACATCACAAAGTTCATGAAGACTGCAACACTTGAAAAGAGTTAAAGGCAATATAGCCAATAGAATTTTAAAAGGCAGTGGCTATTGTTACACCAGTTATAAGCCAATTATTATTTTACGTTATTATGTGTATAGATTGGACAATAACTACAAATCAGAATTAAGAATTGATTCTAGACAAGTGTAACAAGCGCCACTGCCTAAAAAAAAATTAGTGTAATGCAGAATGTGCAACTCTGACTAAGCAACAGTCAACTGTACGGAGGCAGACTTGCAAGTACCTGATTATTTTTATTTTCTCATTTTGGACAGCGCCACCAACGAATAAGTAATTTAGGAATGAGATGCCAATTACATTTTGGTAAGGTGCACACTAAGAGATAAAAAGTGAGTAACCAAAAGTCAGGGCCTAGAACTCAAGCTACAGTAAGGACTGAATAACAGTATTTAGAAAACTGAGCAGCAACATTGCTGCAGTCTGAGCAACACCACAATTTCGATTATTCATAATCGAAGGTGAGACCTGTCCCACTAAGGTTCTGGTGGATGACAGCATCAAACGCCTCGTTTTCAGCAACAGTAAAATGATTCTTCCAGTCACCAATTTGACCTAGTTTTACAAAACAAACAAAAAATTTCCATCAATTCTGAAACATATCTAAAAAAAAAAACACTTCTAATTACATTCTTATCTTGCCACTGGATAATACCAATACATAAATTTCAACATCCTAATATGGACAAAACTTTTCAAATTGCAACAAATTTCAAGTCCTCTTTTTTCTAAAGAACCCCTTTATGCAGCACACGTTTGATACAAATGACTTTTACATGTATACCTTCTCTTTTGAAGGATGCCCTCTAAGTTGTGGCAGTATTTTTGAAGATAGGATTGCATTCCAATGAATGTCAGCCTAGGCCTCTACTAATTCTATACACATTGTTTTTATCTAAATTTTAATGCTAACCTTTTCGAATGAATGGTGATTTTCCCATAGCTTTGGTCAGAAACTTGCCATCAGGAGTTTTCTTCTCAACTTTGTCATATGTCTTTTTCATATTCTTCACTTCCGAATGGTGTACAACAAGATCAATTTCTTCATCACTTAAAGGGCATTCAAGATGGTCAGCAAACCTGATGATAGATCCTCTTGGATCCTACATACAAAATTAAGCATTTTCTGTATTGTAAAAGAATACAAGAAACAAGTAGGAGATAGGCCGGTTTTGGTGTGGGGGTGAAAAACGGCCTGGGGTGCAAAATTGAGAATGCAGAACTAAATGCTATTCCAATAAAACCTTAATGGTCATTTTTAGTATTATAACCCACTTATTGGAACTAATATGCCATCATGGGGGGTGGGGTGCATCTGCACCTAGCTTACGCACAAGACAAGATAAAATGTATTATCGCCGATAACAAAGAGAAAACTACAAAGCTTGCAATGAAAAATTATACAATTAAAGCAAACCACATTAAAAATTGATTGAGAACAAATTTTCATAATACTGTAACCCTTAGAAAAAGCACATTAAAACATTGAAAAAGTCATGCACTAAATGAAAGAAAAAATTAAAATCGATTAAACTAAAGATAAAATGCAAAAACAATAAATATACAAAAAGAAAAAAATCCACCCACTTGCATATCATACCTTTTTCATATCCTCATATTTCATATATAGAAAATTTGGTTCATGTCGATGTTTCCAGTAACTGAGAACGTGTGTGAAGAATCCACCACCAATCACTGCCAAGCAAAAATAAAATAGAGAGGTTTAATCTGTGATAGCTCTAGGACAATCAATATGAACAAGGCTGTTTTACCAGGCGTGGATTCAGTAGGAGGCACACTTGCGCCCCCCCCCACCACCCCACTCCGTTTTGCCACTAACTTTTAAAATTTCAATGCATATATTGAAATTAGCACGTAACTCACTTATCTATTCTGAAAATGTTGTGCCCCTCACCCACCCGTTTGAAAAATTCTGGATCTGCCCCTGTTTACCAAATTAAATACTTTATTAAATGAGCAATTTGAAGTTTTATTTGACTTTTTTGGGTGGTGCAGGAGTTGCTGTTCAGCTTTTCAACCTCATGGTTACAGTTAGAGACTCAAGCTGTCCACTTCCAACCAGGCTTAGACACCTTAGCTTGCATTGTGGTTGGGCTGCAAAAATACTTGACTCTATGTTCCAGCCTTAATGCAAGTCAGTTATGGCCCCTGGTTTTGTTTTGTTTCAGGTATACAAGATCAGGCCATCATTTGCTGGGCTTGCTATAGGGCACAGGTGGGCAGAGTGTGGCCCGCGAGCTGCATGCGGCCCGACAGCGACTTTTTTTAGCCCGTGAAAAGCAACATTGGCTAGAAAACACCTTGTTTTTTTATGGCCCGACACCGATCATATGTAAAAAGTAAAAAACCTGAGAATAAAGTGGTGTAAAAGCAGTACTTGGAGGCTTTTGGAAGCTTACTGCGAATATCAAAGTTTGGGTTTGGCCTCTGTGTTAAATCAGTTAAACTTCACATTGGCCCTCCAACCAATTTTTATGCCCACCCCTGCTATATGATTTCTTTTGCCCTGCATTTTCTAATTTAAACAAAAATATCAATAATATGACTAACGATCAACCGTTCACTCAGCTTGAAAGAATGGATGAAAACCAGTGGCAGCGCTCACAGGGGGGGGGGGGCTTCGAAACCTCTAAATTGTCATATGGGGGATACGTCCCCTGGACCACTTTCTAAAGGTTTTTAGCCACGCCCAACCACGCCCACTTTTTTCTTGTCGGGGACCTTTGACCCCCCCACCACTTGGAGAATTCTAGCACCGTCACTGAAAAAAACTTTACTTACAATCATCCTGCTTTATCCATTTATCAGCATGTCCATTCCAGTCTGATGCCATCAAGCCCGACATTGCATGGTAAAATGATACACCACAATCTTTAGGGTTTCTGGTTACATAAATCACCTGAAATGAAATGGGTAAAATTCATTAAAGCAAGACTCCAGAGGAAAAAAATTAATATGTTGTACAATTGACACAAAAGTTGTTTGACGAAGGAAATGGTTAATGAGATACAGATTTCTTAATATTTAAAAACTGGGGGAAGGGCGTAGTCATCCTTTTTCCAACTTTCCCCTAGTTTAGTTATACGTGGGTGATGCATTGGAAAAAATGCCTTTATAACCATTATTTTATATCTGTTACACATCTAAATACTCAGACAAAGCTACAGCCTCAACAATCTTGTAATGAAATTTCATGGTCATGGAGCTATTAAAATGGTTAACTCATACCTTAGGCTTCTTTGAGAACACCTGAGGAGGGAGGAGGTGTTCAGGCAGGTGGGTGAGTATCACTCTACGCCCTTCCATTGAGGCCAGCTTTAAGTGAAAGGCAACAAACGATGTAGGGTTGCTTTTGTCCTTCAAGTACGACATTTCAATTGCAGCTTCCTGTCGAGTATGGTCAATCTTATCAGGATCACCAGCAGTCAGAATTAAGTTGATGATCTCAGCTGACCAGTGGGTGCCTGCGTAAGAAATATTCAAATAGGTATGTGTTAAGCTGAGCACAATTGTATAAGTATGATTGTTGTGATCAGTGGCGTATCTAGGGGTATTGAAATGGGGGGAGCAGATGGTGCGCAAAGGTGAAGTGGGAGGGCTTGATGATAAAGTGAGGGGGTGTCAGCTAGCAAAATAGATGGTATGAGGCACTTTTTAATTGCTTAGCGTAATTTTTTTTGGTTCATGAATTTCCACTGTGGCAAATTGGGAGGTGGGGGGGGGGGGGAATGTGTCATAATGTTTCAAGTTTAGTTTCATAAAGAGCAAGCCGGCCCCTAAATTTCATTAAAAAAATTACAGTACTATACATTTGAATGTGTGGGAATGGAGGAAATACATTAGTGGTATGAGAATGCCATTTCCGGGCATCTAGATTTGGCATTATAGCAATATAATTTCGTAACTCAGCCCCTACAATGGTGAGATTGAGGTGGTATGAAATGGACACTCTCCCGGGGCCCAATATTTAAAATTTTTAGATCTGCTACTGTAATGTCTGTAGACTTGTATAACGCATATTACTAGTTCTATATGCGCTTTCATATAAATGTCTAAAAGAAATTGAACAAAAGAAATAAATACGACAAATTAGAGACAAAGAAAAAAGGAACAAAAATCATCAACTGAAAAACAGAAAAACAATTAGATTAATGAGACTGTGTGTTTTATAAAAGTTGATAACTTTTATCATTTCAAAGCAAATAAATGCTTTAATTAAATGGTTTCAGATTTTACCAAAAATAATATTATCAAAAGGCAAACAGACAGATAAACCGATATTTTACCACACTTTGGATAAGTAATCAAGAAGATGTCGTCCGGTCTGACTTCAAATGTGGCCATGGCGTCCAAGTTAGCAGGAGGTATAATCATCCTGTGAAACTTAACCTCTTTGTAGTGGTAGTAACCTTTCTCAAATTCTTCCCCCGAGAACATCTTTCCGGCCATATTTATCTAAAGAAAATAAATTAATTAATGAAACATCATAAAAAATAATGCAGTCTTGATATCTAGGAGTATGTCAAACTTTAAAAAATGTGGTAAAGTGTTAAAATAGGCAGCACTGGAGGGGGTGGGTGGTTGGGTTGAAAAAAAATTCCATGTAATTTATGCAAATTGCCGTAGCTTTTAATTGTTGTACCTTCCGGGCTTATTCCTGGCGTATTTATCAAACTAGAAAATTAAGAAGTCGATTGTACGCATACGCCATCTAAGACAATATTTTAAGCTAAGATTTTAGTAAAATGGTTTAATAAAACAGCTTAAGATATTTTCTTTATGACTTAAGACATTTTCTAAGGTGAGATTGATAAATCCTGGGCCGGGAGCACATCTGGGAGGAGACGGAATAAAAATAAAAATAAAATTTTTTTAGCAAATATACTTTTGCCAAAATCATCCAGACGGAGGAGAAAATGAAAATAAAATTTTATTGATGAATGTAAAATAGGATTTTTTTCTGAAATTTCCACTTTTTCGCAGCAGCGGGTGTGCTTATTGGCTAAAAATAAAATTCAATTTTTATTCGAAATCATCAACATTTGCAGTCGGTGGGTTCACTAAACAAGGTTTAGTCCTTTTCTTTTGTTGTGAATAATTTTTAGTGTTTTGATTTTTAAATAGAGTAATGAAAACAATATAATGAATTCAATGTTAATAATAAGAATGTTTATAGATTTTAATGATAATTATTGTTGTGAATGATTTTTAGTGTTTTGATATTTGAATAGAGTAATGAAAAGAATATAATGAATCCTATGTTAATAATAATTAAAATATTTATAGATTTGAATAATTATTGTAATACATTCAATTATTGTAATGAAAAGAAATTAATGAATTTAATGTTAATAATTATAGTAGTTTTTTTAATTTTAATGATTTTTTTGTAATTTATTTAGGTATTTGTGGCAAAGACAAGCCAAACCAGTCACTCGTCGCAAATTGTGTTACAGAGAAAATGGCCAAAACATGCTAGAATGTCAAATTTTAAAAAATCTATTTTATTGCACTAAACTAACCTTTAAATATCTATACATCATTATATGCTGTTATTTTCCCCATTTTCAATGTTAAAACAACACTTTTTAAGGATTTAAAGATAGTTTCTGCATGAGAAATGCCTGAAATCATAAACTTTGAAGGCTGATTTCTCATATATTGTTCTTTAA